GCTGGACCCAAGGGGCAAAATTCATTCCTGCGTACAAGGTGCTTTCATCATTTCAGTCCCACCTATATTTTCTAGATACAGTTTTAAGTTTTCTAGATCTAGTTTAAGTAGCACTTAATGCAGTTCCTATTCTACTTCCCAATTCTTTAGGATCGTCCTCTTCAGTGAGCCAAGGAATAGTTGTGCTCGTGCCCCCTGTGAGCTGTCCTCAGCTCCCAGAGCGTCGTTTTTCTTCTCGGATGGGATCCTGTAAGCTCTTGAAATAGATCGGAGGCCTGAGAAGCAGGCAGTCTTCAAAGATTATTACACTGAATGTGCAATGCTTTGGAAAGATTGTGCAAATAAGAGTGTGGTATCATTGCTATGCCTCTGGGGTGTATCTTTAACACCCAGCAGGCACTTGAAGGGTAAGCACACCTGAAAGGGTTGTGACACAGCAGCCTGTTGTGATTCGAGAAGGTTATATAAAATGACAAAAAGGTAAAAAAGACCACTGCCTACCCTGGAGTCACAAGTGCACTGAGCTATGGAGGTGACCAAAGACATGCTGAAATTGGTACCAGGCTTAGAGCGATCAGCTCTGCAACTGACTATCTGGGGGCTCCAGCCATCACATGGTCCATGCCATTGCTCTGGAGGAGCTAAACTGAACATCTCTTTGGTCTATTTCAGGAGATACCCATGGAGAGTTGCAATTGAAACTCAACCACTGCATGAATAAGAGCAGCTTTTTAATCAGGCCAGAATAGTTCTTGAAGCAGAAATCTTTCTTTAAATAATTAAGTCTGCAACTAAATGAGATTGCAAATCCCCCAAAGCATTCCACTCCCCTGAGGTGCAAGAGGCCATGCAATGTGGAAAAATAAAGGCTGTGTCCAGACAAGTTATCTCAAGTACTGCAAGTGGGATTATTGCCTTAATATGGTTCTATCTGCTCTTTGGCCTGCTGCTTGGTGACAGAGTGGAAGTGGACATGCAAGGCTGAAGCTGTTCTACGTGGTAATTAACATTCACCCTCATGAAAACTGGCTTCCTGCTCATTGTCTTACAAATGCTTAGACAAACAAATCTGAAATACGTGGAGGCATCTGATAAGGAGAGATCTGGAGGAATAACCTATTCCCCACATTGAGAAGTCCATAATGGATCGTGAAATGAAAAGCACTCTACATCTTTTAAATCTGAGGAGGCACGAGTGTTAAAAATGAGAGTTAAAAAGTTTGCTTCCTTCCCACCTCCTGTTAGGAATAGAGGGGAAGGTGGCAGTGGCTGGAAGCCTGAGGCCAGACCTCCATTCCCGCCAGCTCCAGCTCAGCTTGGCTTCCAAAGGAAACAGAGCTCCTGCCATTGCGTGGGCAGCCAGTTTTTCTTTAATAACTCTGGGATTTCTTGGCCAGTTCCAACCACTATGATAGATGGGTAGGCCATCTCAGGGACACACAGTTCCAACATGTTTCATGCAAATGGCATCCAGACAGAGGAGAGAGATCCTGTGAATGCTGCCACCAGGCAAAAAAGCCCCAATTTAGGCATGAGAGAATTAGAGAGAGCAGTGAACATACAGGAGTCAGAAATGTTATGGAAGCCACGGAGGTGGGCAAAGAGGTGGTATCTGACAGTACACCAGACAGCCCCACCGTGCAGCACACAAGTACAGAAGACCTTTGTGGTCTCTTTTGCACGTAGAACTGGCTTGTGTTCATCGTTCAACACCTCTTTTTCCTTCTATTTGTTTTTTGGAACCCTGCTTTACCAGCACTGGCCTAACCCCTCAGCCCCTGGTTCATCTCTTCTGGGGCATTTCACAGGGTCCAGGCAGAGTCAGGATTTTGGGGCCATGCTGCTTTGCTGCCCTCAGGTCCCCTTTCACCAGGAGACCTGCATTTCTCCTGAAAGATGGAGAAAAGACATGTATTTTTACATGGCAGGAACATGGAGGTAGAGGCAGTTCTTTGATCCAAGCTCTGAATTCGTGGTTTGGTTTTTGGTTTGGTTTTTTTTTTCTTTTCTTTTTTCCTACATAAATTATTTTGTGTTCCTGCCAACTCATAAATGTATGGATTATCAGGAAAGCTTTTATTTTTTTTCCTAGCTCAAATCAGGGTGCAGAAACACTGCTCCATGAGTTGCCCTGCCCTGTCAAAACAAGTCCGTTTGCCTCCGGCAGTGAGCCTCTGCAGTTGCAATATCTGACCTAAAGTCTGATGAAAATGAATGTCTTTGAGGGAATTGGGAAGATCACATGAGCAAAAGTAACATTAAATCCTGTGAGCTGCACAGTGCCACTCTGAGTTATGTTAATGGCTAAGTTTAGAGGCTGAATTCTGGGTAAAATGGGTTTTGGGCTGCATCAAAAGTAGAAGCAGGGAGTAGGTGGTGATTTTCTGTTGTTTGGATTTCTGCTTCTATGCAGAGGAAAACTAGTTTTTAAAAGTGCTTTTCAATAGTGATCTTGTGGCTTTATTGAAGCATTTGAGGTGACTTCTTACCTGCCCTGTAAGAGGATGTCTCTACCAGAGCCCTGGTATCAAACTCCTGAGGAGTTGGTTAATATCCAACTCCCTTCTTCATAGACCGTCGGCGAATGCCAAATGTTCAGTGAGAAAGTGCAGGGCTTTCCAAAACTGCACACAAACCTGAACTGTGCCACGTAACTAAAAATGGTATTAAAAAGTCTAATGTTTGGAAGGCTTCAGGGATGAGCATTGTAGTGGGAGCAGCAGGCATTAGCCTCTCAGCCCTCCTGGAGATGAGCTGTGAACGCTTTAAATCTGAAAGTGAACCTGAAGGATGAATAATTACATGGTAGCTTCTATGTAGAAACCAGATTTCCTGAAAAATTCTCCCTGATTTGCATGAATTGTGAAAGGCCTTTTCTAGGCTTGAGAGGAAGAGATGTAAGACTTCCATCTAGTGGCTCTTTTGTTTGATTTAATTCTCCTGATAATCAACAGCTGGATGCAAACCTGCAGCATTAGTGAGATGGATTCATAGCCACTGTGCTGACACACGTACTAAAGCACATGATGCAGCAGTTTAGGAAACACCCTTCTTTGTGTCCGTTGGAAATGAGAGGGCTCACAATGCTGCAAGCACTTGGACGTTGCCTCCTCTGCTTGTAAAGCAGAAGGCAATGCTGTCCTGCCTCACAGGGGTTCTGGGAGGCTTAATCCTCTGATGCTCTTGTGGCACTTAAATGGCCAAAACAGGAGGTGTTACCAAAATGCAAATATTATTACTAATAATAGCTCCTTTAAGTCACATACTGTCTTTCAACACTTGTATCTGTGATGTGCACACACCTTTGGAACATGATTTGTTTTCAGCTCTTGAATTAACACTGAATATTTGTGGTATAAAACATCTTAACTAGAAAGCAGCAACAATTTTGTGTGATTTCACTGTGATTTTATGGATGTGAAAATGCAATTTTAATTTTTAGCAAAAAAATCTTATCAAAACATGCATCAGCATACTGGGCCATTTACTGGGTTACTACTGGCAACAAGGAACACCAGCTGCCTCAAGGGAGTTTGCAAACTCCAGCCTTGATGAGGTGTGATGTGATACAGACACTTACTGGGAGAACTTATCCCTGGAGGCTGGCAACTTTCAGCTTTTAACAGAGATCTGACCAACTTTGGAATTGCAAGATTTACTGTACCTTCTAATTTTTAGCTATGCTTTTATTGATAGATTTGTGTAGTTTTGCTATTCTTTTGAATTCCTAATCCTTTTCTGAATGCTGCTAAATTTGTGGCCTCAGGTGTGGCCTGTGATAATGAATCTCATGGTTCAATTATTCATGTAATGGAAAATTATCTGGCTTTTAAGTTCACTTCAGTTAAAGCAAATGATGCCTCCTTGGAGAAAGATCAGAAGATGCTGGTCTAGCCTTTCCTTCCACGTACAGAAAGAAATAGTTGATATCAGCCTGTTGCCCCCAACACATTTTAATTCACAGCTAAATCAGGCTACAAGCATGTGTCTCATGTTATGTTACATGGCATGTAACTCAGTGTCTGCTGCTCAGATGCCACCAAGTAATAAATTGTAATGCTTTCAGTCACGCTTTCCACGTTGAACCCCTTCTTAGGGCCTGAAGGGGGAAAACCTGAAGGCAGCAACAGTGGCATTTGGTGCATCACTGTGGGAATGGTAATACTTGGAGAGAGCCTGGGAAGATCGATGGGTCCTTTGCTGATTCCTGCTGCATCCAAGAAAATACGACTTAATGTATATGTTGAATATTTTATAAGTAAACAGAACCGCATCAAAGAATGCTTGGTTCTCAAAGCAGGAGATACCTTCTCAAGAAATGATCTGTAAAAACTGTAATGTTACCTAAGCACAAGGAGAAAAGCTCACAACTGTATGTGAAGGTGCTCCAAGATTACACTATTGGAGGTGGCTAAGAGGACATAATTAAAACAAATTTATTGCCATCCTCCGTATGATGGTTGACCAAGCTCTGTCCCGGTTTGTGGGAGTTTGTTGTGTCCTTAGATTAGTAGCAGAATACTATTTTGCCCATTTGCAGGCATTAATCATGCACTGTGTTGCGTTAGAGTGTGTTATGGATATTACTCAGCAGCTCTCCTGGCCCCACAGCAAATAAATTACCGAGTGTGAGGCCAAAGGTGGTGATCCCCAGGGCTGTCAGTCCTGTATATTCTCCAGGCTTGATATTAACACTGAGTAAGCGCTGACAGTCAGGCCAGGTGCAAATGAAGGCATCTCTATAGAAAACTCCAGTGATGTCTCAAATGCTCCCAACCATTCACAGGAGTCACAGCAGTGATAAAATTGGTCCAGGACATTTATTCCTCCTTCTGCTTCTGTGTTTACCCCTGTGATCTGAACTGCGCTACGGGCCATCTCATAGACAAAATAAATCTCTGTGTCTCCCACGCAGCTGTAATTGAACGGTCACGGAGGCTGAGCTACCCTTTTCTCTCTGTTAACTCGCTGAGATTATTTCAAGTGTCTGCTTTTCCCAGGTGCTGCCCTGCTCTCTGGAAAGGAATTACCATTGCAAACAACCTCCTCTCCTGCAGAAGAGACAGATTTGATTAGAGATAGAATTTTACACAAGGAGACCGGGATGAAGCCTGGAGAAAAGGAGTATGCCCCAGGTAAAATGAGATGAATTTGTATTTCTGTCACATGAATTCCTCTCCTCAAGGATTTCTCATTTCCTTGTTTCCTGCAAAAAATCCTCCCATTTTGTGCCTGTCCCAATTAGTGTGTGTCCACCTGCTCTGCTAAAAAACAGCTGCCCAGGCAGATAATTAGTGCTGTGAGCTGGATAGTGGCTTCCCATCATTCAGCTCCTGTCAGTGATGCCCTGCTGCAGTACAGCAGCAATAGCTCTGACAATTGCAATGAAACACGAGTGTTTTTTCCCCTGAGGGACCCTCCACTTGTATCCTCTGAGTCACTTGTTGCCACATTTTTCCCCCCTACCTCTGTGTTTGGGAGAAATGCTGGCACCCAGGTTTTATTGCTGGGAGGACAACTTCCTGAAATTTGGGATGCTGGAGCACATCCCAGGAAGGGCGGGAAGGAAGTGGGACCTTGGGTCTGCTGAGGTCTCTCCTACCCCACTGCAGAGAGGGGCCTGTGACACATCTGATTTTGGGACCAGGAGAGTCCTACTTGGCTGTGTCCTTGTCTTCTCACTAGCAGGGCCAAAGGAAGGGGCTCCTGTTGAGACCTCCCTACTCCCACTCCCCCAGTTGTGTATTTTTATTTGCTTCTTCTTGTTCAAAATCTGTTCCTATCGTAGACATTGAGGGTAAAATGTGGTGGCTCAAGTGGCTTTCTGCCCCAAGACTTTCACAGCTGCTTCATGCAAATGGCACCAAGGGGTTTATGGCCGCCGGGCATCCCTCCCGGCTGAAAGCACGGCGCTGGCTGGGAATCAAAATAAATCCTCAGATTTTGCAGGAGGCTAAAAAGAGGATATGTCACATTAAGGCAGATACGGACATCTACAGAAAAATCTACATATATTTACAAAAAGTACATCTAGAAAGGTGTCTGCCTCATTTCTGTTACACCTCACTCCCAGAGAACCTTTTACTTTTCCTACTGGGATGTGTTGTGGCAGGAGGATACAGACTTTGTGTGATTGCAGCCGTTTCTGTGGCAACTGATTTTGATGTTGTTTTAATAAATGTGACAGTTTCCGTGTTGATGCTGGCATACCTTTGCCAATTAGCTGCAGGATGAATGAGTTAATTGCTGTTTGGGCTGGATGAGGTCTTACTTTCATTTTTGGTTAGATGCCGAATATAAAAAAATCAAAGAAACCTATTAGTCAGAATCGTACATAACAGCTCAGAAAGTCAAAATCCACTGAGTGATGCCTCTTTTATTGATTTAATTGAAGTAATTTTGAAAACTTGATGTTCTCTTTAATGTGGTTTAATGGCTAAATAGATACAGATGATGCTAATCTTTTTATCTTATTTTCTATCATACTTGCAAATGCTATTACTACATGGCTTTATTTTTCTGATTTTATAAAAGAAGAGCCCAATATTCAAGCTAGATTTCATTATGAGCTACTCTTATTTACTCATAAGAAAGGGAGGTAGTGGCAAGATGGCAGGATGACAATGTAAAGAAAGCTTAATAGGAAAGCAGTTTGGATGAAAAATTATTAAATGAGTAGGTTCGTCTGCACTACAATGTTGGAGCTTCATATAAAGAAATATCAGTCCTTCCTAAGTACATACAGTCCTACTTTTTTGGTCTTCACCATAAGCCCTGGTAGGTTTTATAGGTGAGGTCCACAGGTGCAAAATGGGAGACTCATCTGGAAAACATGGCATGGCAGCTGCAAATCATTAACGCCCCATCTCACATCAAGGTCCCCATCAAGCTCAGCAAGATGAAACATTCAAGAGTTGCTTTTTGTAGGCACCACAGATTCATGGAACCCATTGCCTTCAGCAGCCAGTCTTTTCAGGACACTTTATAGGATTAGTGGCAGCAATGTCATTTACCAATACAAAAAGATAACAACTTTAAAAGTTGGTGTTTAACTGGGTGTTTCTGCTGACATGATCTTTCTACAGGAGTTTATGCTGCCACACTCAAGGTTCTGACCACATTTGTAGGGTTCTGGGTGAAGACCTGCCCTAAAAGTGCACCCTCTTTCCTATGCCAGAGGTAAAACTCTGGCCAGCTGGGAGGATTGTCTCAAGGAACTTAAAGCTGGCTTTTGGGCTCTCTGAAGACCTGCCGATAGAATTTTCTGCACCTGCACAAGGACTGGCAGGAAGAGACATGCAAGGTGCCCAGCACCAGCTCTTTGGGGTCCCATCCACTCCTGCTGGCTGGAAGCCGAGAAGCTGGGACTTGCAAGGTGCACCGAGACCTCGGGGGGACAGAGCCCCATGTTCCCTGCAAGCAGAACATCAGCCTGCAAAGTCTCACTGGTCAGCAAAAGGAACTATTTCTTGTCCACGAGGGCAATGCAAACCTCATTTCACACAGCCCCCACCTCTGGTAAACACTTTCCCAGAGAACTCACAGCCTGTGCCACATGGAAAAGGTGGGAAAAAGAGATGGCGGGGCAATGACAAAGAGAAAGGAAGGAGTCACTCATTTGTAGCCATGTAATTATTATTTAAATAAATAGAGCTTTTGAAAATGTGATTAAGCAAACGAGGGAATAAAGTAAAAATCTGAATTGCTAATTAAAAAAAAAAACCCAACATGCTTGTAATGATATCATGTTGAGGGATAAACTAATTCAGTCCTAGCAGTTTTCTTTTAATAATTTTGATTCTCAGAGTAATAACCACAGCTAAGAAAAAAAATAATAATTAAAAAAAAAAAAAAATCACCCATTTTAATCAGCCCAGACTACGGCGCCTTGGGGTGCATTTCAATCGGCCCCATGCGCAAGATGCCTGAGGCAATTCTCCTGCTTAATTGGCATTTTCCACAACACACTGTGAAATGATAATGCTAATTATCATGAAGATGGATTTAAACCCCTCTGTCTAGGGCACCGCGCCTTGGAATCAGGCGGCATTCATCATCAGCATCGACCCTCCCCGCTCAGGGTTGCTAATGACTCGTGAAGCTCCCTCCGTCCCCCCTGCTGCCGACGCGCTCCTGCTCACCTGATGGTAAATCGCCTCCCAGTTCTCCCGCAGCGCTCCCCAGCTGCCCACGCTGGCTGCTTTCTTGTCCAGGTACACTCTGATATGCTCCTCCAGCTCCTGGTTGACCTGCTCGAGAGCTCGCACCTTCTCGATGTACTCCACCAAGCAACCGTTGAGGCTCTCGTAGGAGAGACCCCTGCCCTTCTCCAGCCCCGGGGCCAAGGGCACGGTGGTAGCGGAGCTGCGCAGACCCTGGAGGAAGACGCTGCTGATGCCCAGGGCTCTGCGGGACACTCGGGTGCCCAAGCTGCTCACGCCACCAGTGGGGACGGTGCCCACGTAGACACCGGGGGGTCTTGACAGGCTCCCTCCACCGCCGGTGCTCACCCGACGGCCGGGCGGCCCCGAGCTCTCGGCCGTGGAGGAAGAGGGCTGCTGCCCCAAGAAGGACGACCGGCGCCTCGGCAAGGGCATGCTGCCTCTCCAGCCCGCCCAGCGCCACCGCTCAGCCCAGCCACCTTCGCCCCGCGCTGGCGGGAGGGATGTGCCGAGCCCAGCAGGTTGGGGCTCACGGGGAGGTTTCGGCTTTGTGCGACGGCTTTCTGGAAGGGAGGCTTTGTCCTGCCCGGCAGCGCCCGTCACATTGTCCGGGCGGCCGCTGGGTCAGCAATCCCATTTCAGGGGAAATCTCCCTGCTGCTGCTGCTGCAAATGTGGCAGATGAAAAGCACAATGGTGTTTACAGGGACAGCAGGACGGGGATTCAGTACAATGTACGTGTTAAAATACCAGCGGTGTTTTCTACGCTGACACCCAGATCGTTTCCTACCCTTATCCCTGCAGGTATCTAGACATACATTACAAATGCGTTACAATCGTGCCCATGCTTGCTCCGGACAGAGTCTTCTGCAGCAGGATGTTACCTCAAGTTAGCAAAACTCAAAGATTTGAGGGGCCGGCAGGGCCATGGCCGAGCCAAACCAGCCTTTCACTGCCGCAGAGCTGTGAATGCTCCCTTGGCCCTGCTTCAGCTTCTGGACTGCTCTATGCTTTGGTTTCATCACCCCCCTGACCAAGGCATGTTGCCCCAAACCCAGCAGATTTTAGGGACAAGCACCCTCACGTCTCCCCCTGCTCAGTCAGTTTAACATCACATTGCAAATTGTGCCCAGTCTGTTCAACAAGGGCCCATTTCACTTAGACTGCGTAACGTGGTGGCAAAGTGAGGCAGCTGTGAACCGAAAGAAAGGGGAAAACAATCCCCAAAATGTATTGCAGGGGATGGGGGAGTTTCCCCTGCTCTTCTTTTTGTGTGGCTCCTCTTTAGTGACTAGTGAGCGGGTGAGTAGTTTATATATACATAAGCAGGATGTGTGCATGGTACAGTGGGATCTTTCACTGTGCAATGTTAGGTATAGCTTTTTCTACCTACACACAGGGATGCTTCACAACCAGGATGCCAGATTTGTCCCAATATAGGATTATTGTCTGTGCATCTTTGTAGGTATGTCTGTAATGTGCTGGTGGTGGGCACTGCCCTGATGCGGAGTAGTTTTGTGAGTCTTTAGTGAGATGGAATATAACCAGAAATCCATGTTTTCCATGAATGCCTAACACTGGCCCGCTGGGTTTGCGGCTGGAGTTTGTTTTGGTTGTTTTTGAAGGCTGAGAACTGTGAGACTGCCTACAGTCAGGTCACCATTTCCCAGCTGTGTGAAGCCTGGGAGTAGTGCAGCATCTCACAGCATTGCAAATATTTTTTGTCTAGTTTCTAGGCATTCTGCATTTAGATTACCAAGCAGACTGTGCTGGCTAAATGAGAGGAATCCTCTGGTATTTCTTACACAACATTTTCAGGGTATTTGCGTCAAACAATAATAATAATAAAAAAGAAAATCAGCCTTGCAAAAGCAATACTGCATACAGAAAACAAATGTAAAAATATGGACTTTTTTTGCAAAGAACTCAATTTAGTTCTCTGTAACCTTATTCTCTCTTTCCACCTCCCTGATGAAATAGAAAACGAAGGTCCTCGTGGGATGGCTTTCTTGGCAAGACCCTCAGGAAGTTTTTACTGTATAATCAACCAGTGATTTCCAGGAGTCTGTGTAGTATTTGATCATGAGGACTGCAGCTATCACATTGCGTCGTGTTTATCCCACTGTGAAAAGATATATTCCCAGAGTGCCCATCCATATTCATACACAGCCGCGTCTTCCTGCCCGCCCTGGTAACCTCATAGGGAAGCAGTGCATTATTCTCTGATTCTAAGCAGAAAATCAAATATTGAGGGGAGCCCCTATGACATTAGAATTTTCTAATTTTAGGAAGCCTGCATTCAGCTTTGTGTCTCAGCACAGTACAAGTGCACGTGTTGGACAGAGAGAAAGGAGGGGTGACAATGCCTCTGTGGCCCCCCCGGTCCCAGGGGGAGCCACGTCTTGGTCTGATTCCAGACATCATTTAGTAAAGCTGTCAGGTTGTTCTGACTAACTGCAACCACTGGGACACTGCTGGCAGGTGGGAACAGCTGGACCAGATGTGCCACTGCTGTAATTCCCTTTTGTGGTACCAGCCGAGGCTCACCTTGAGCAAGGCATATGGTTAATGATGCTACGCTTACCCTGTCCTGCCTGAGCTTCCCTTTTACGCAGCCAAGCGATAAACCTGAGCAGCCCGTGGCACAGAGCAGCAGGCAAACTCCCTGCTGCCTCACAGCCTGCTCCTGATGAAGTGAGGAGTGAAGGTAGAAAATAATCTACAAGGACCAATGGCCAGAAGTGGGGAGAGGACAGCTGAGACCTCAAAGGATAGAGGCCATTTCACTTGCTGAACGATACAAAAAAAAAAGGCAATTTGAGAAGCAAAAATGAAAATTGGTCCCACGGCAACAGTTCTGGGTTACTCAAAGAGAGAGCATCGATTTAGGCAAAGTCATTCCATGTTCCACGTTAGCCTTTCCTTCTAACAACCTATTTTTAATCCATTATTTAAGCTTCGTTCACCCCTACTATTCCCCTAACACAGCCTGCAATCTAGCGCTTAAGTGGGTAGGACTGAAATGTCATTTTGCCCTGAAACACTGCGTTTTCATTCCTAAGGGGAGAAGGAAAGTCTCAGAGACTAGAAGGGGGGTAGGAGGGAACTTGATTCAATGGCACGAGCAATCTCAGCACACAAGACAATATAAGAGTGGGGAAGTGGAAATGTGGTCAAAGCCGCAGCACTCAATTGGTGGGAGCCTCTAGTCACCAGATTTCAAGATTTCCGATAAATTCAGAGGAGATTTCTGTTCGTTTGAAGGGCACGCTCCACATGCCTTCTTTTGAGAGTGTTTGCTCCGCAGGAAATCATTCCGGACTCACTCGGCCGGAGTAGAGCAGCTGTGAGTCCAACATGTAATGTGGTTAGGACATTTACACAGGAAAAAAGGTCAGTTTTGGAGCTCAAACTGGAGCTTGGCTCTCCTGTTGTAGTCTGAAGAAGGTAACATAAAAATGTCATGAGGCAACATGAGTACCCCCAACGGGTTTGCCCATGTCTTGGACGGCCCTGGATCCCAGAGGTGCATCAGGTTTGTTTATCATCCCACTGTAGCCCAGCTCCCCTGATGAGCTGTCAGACCCCAGTTGGGTTTAACTGGAAGGGAGGCTCAGAAGGGCTCGTCCCAGTCGGTGCTCAGGCAGCACTGGAGTTGTGCAAAGGATACAAGACTGGCACAGGAGCTGTAGGGACTGCTCCTGGCAACCAAGCTGGTGCTGTCTGGTTTGCATTCTAGCTTGGCAGTCTAAAGGAAAGGAGTGACCAAGGTCACTTTACAGTAAGAGAAGGGATGGATGGTCACCAGGCAGGAATGTTCATGGCCAGGTTGAGCAATGCCATGTAGGATGCTGTACCCAGCACATGCTGCCTGCACCAAAACCAGCCAATATTCTTCCAGACCAAGTATATTTAGCAGCAGACTGTAAATGACAGTGAAGAAAACAGCCCCTCTGACAGGTGTTTTGCTTAGAAATACCTTTATTTTATAAAGCCACAGTTTGTTCTGTAAAGTTTTACCACACTTATAAAAAAGGGGCTGACAATTCTGAGGGAGAAAAGAAAAGCTGAAAACATTTCTTGTAATTCAGGGTTACACAAAGGTTATATTTATAATATATATATATTTATTTATAATTTGGAGACAGTAGAGATGAAACTGCAATAGGTGGGCAGCTGCGGGGTCATATCTCAGAGACTTGCTCGTGTCCTACAAACAGCGTTTCTTGACAGAAGGGGTTGACGAGGACCATCCCGCTGTCGCGGTAGTCACCGTTGGCGGGGGAGCGCGGCTCGGAGAGGTGGTCCTAGGAGAAAGACAGAGAAGCAGGGTGAGCACTTCACAGCCCTCAGCCTCCAGGAGCACACAGGGCACTCGGCTGCCCTGTGCGAATGCACGTGGGGAACACACTGCTATTTTTCTTGCTTCTCCAAGTCCTCCAAAAGTGCTTGAATTTTGGGGGCTCTGGCTCCCAGAGTGCTACTTTTGGTGAGTCAGCCTTGCCCTTTCTCAGGCAGCAGGGGCTGTGGGTGAAGAGCTCCTTTGATAATCAGGCTAGTTCTTTCTCAATCTGGGGACCAAGAGGTCAGAGGCACCAAGCTTCCGGTCCCTTAGCAGAATTTGAACTTTCAGGTTTCTTTTTTCGCTTTCATGACACATTATGAGAGTTTCCTGTCTATCAGCTGGGCTTGGCCCCTCAAAGATGTATCTTCAGCTTCTTTTTAAGGTCAGAAAACCACATGTATGGTTCCAAGCTACCTGAGCATGCCCCAGTTCAGTCACGTTCTGATCAGGTTTAAATCACTCGGCAGCTTTTGGAGGCCATCCTGTACGTGAACAAGCCTGTCATTCAGGTCTTGGTAAGTCTAGACCAGGTCCAGCCTTAGCTTGAACAACGTGATTGCCAGCAAAGTGGGGTTCATGAAGCAACTATGCTTGTCTACTCACATCTCAGAGGTTCCTTTCTAAACGTATCTTTGTTTTAATTTAATGAGATGAGTTAGTGTGCTAGCTGATCTGAAAATCACTTTTGTGTAAACTCAAAGTCTCCACTGTTTCTAGCTTTTAAATACCTTTGAACTAAGGTAAATTATTCTTCTCTGTCTCTGATGCTAGAGAATACATTTCTGTCCATAGGATCACCTGCCCATATATGAATAATCCCACTGAACCTGTCAGATCTCTTAAGTAAAGGTTGATGAGTATACACCATCCCTACACGCTGTCATATATTGATGTTTTGATGGCATATATACCGGGAACACTCACTCCCTGGTCCAGTATTCGAGAAAGTACAGGCAGTTCCTAAGACATAAATGCACAACATTTCTTTGCATTATCAACTCTCACTGTCTCCTTAAGTGATGCTGTGTGGGACATGCACAACAGACAGATTAGAAGGACCAACTGTCAGTAACGAGCCAGCCCAAAGAGCTCTCCTAAGCAGTCATGGAATGGGTAGACATTAGCCATAGGCTCAAAAGGAAGAGAAACCCCCTGTCATATATTGATGTTTTGATTGCTTATCTACCGGGAACACTCACTCCCTGGTCCAGTATTTGAGAAAGTACAGGCAGCTCCTAAGACATAAATGCACAACATTTCTTTGCATTATCAACTCTCACTGTCTCCTTAAGTGATGCTGTGTGGGACATGCACAACAGACAGATTAAAAGGACCAACTGTCAGTAACGAGCCAGCCCAAAGAGCTCTCCTAAGCAGTCATGGAATGGGTAGACATTAGCCATAGGCTCAAAAGGAAGAGAAACCCAGGAAGAAATTCACCTAGAGGTGGTTAACTCCCAGGACCACGTTTTGGTGACATATTTATCCCATTTTATACATGTGTAGGAGTGGTATACATGTGTAGTCTTTCTCAAAAAGCTATTTCCCCAAATATGCATAGAGATATCAAGACTTCATTAGTATGATTTCCCCTCCCCTTCTCCCAGCATGGCTTCAGTTAGTTTTCAGACAGAAATTCTTTAAGTGAGGTACCTCTGAAGTCTCCAGGGACTGGATCTCTCTCGGTAGCTCTACAGCATGCCTGTTGAAGTAGTCCATGGTAATAGCATTATTCCAATAGCTCAGGTTGTTTTCTGGGTTAGATGTCTTTTTCTTCCTCCTCATGCAGCAGACTGTCAGCAGAACTGCTGTCAATAGAAACATGTCAAAAATTTGGTTATTTCCTTTCAATAAGGACTCATCAATACCATGAATTTTTTTTTTACGTTACTTAAAGAGAGGGCTGGTTCCGTTCGTTCATATGCTTCACTCAGATCTAGATCTCTCCTAACAATCCCTACACAATTAAGTCAGAATCTGGGCCACACAGATGAGGCTTTGGGCTTAGCAGAATATATAGGTTTTACTTCCTTTTTGATGTGAGTTTATAATCTTCCAGATGTGGCTGCCTGGCTAATGAAAAGCTTTGGTGTTGTAACTGGTGGTGTTTTAATACCAAAGCAGGGACTTAGAGACTGTATGTGACAGAGGGCACGATCCAGGGACTGCAAAGGATGCCTCTGCACAGATCTGCTTCTAGCATGGTCAGAGGCTGCAGCGATGAGCACGTTAGCAAAAGGGCAGTGAGAGACACCTGTCCCAGGCTCAAATACCACATTCATTAACGCATGTAGTTGCACATCTTCAGTACCAAAAGCTTCTGCCCCAAAGTGCCACTGATCCCTGCTGCTGTCACCTGCCATTCAGAACTTAGATTTTGGGTACTTCGCAACCATGCTCCAAAACATCAGCGACCAGCAAGGGGAACAGATGGGCTCTTGAGCAGGATGAGACAGTGGTGAGGTGATGTGCAGATCCCCTCCAGCACCTGTCTCATGTAGCTTCTGCTTCCAGGGTAGCATTAACCTGAGAGCTGGGGTTTTGCTGTCTGTCTCCATCAGCTGTATCGGGATGTGGGACCTACTGAGACGCGTAATCTGTTCCCCACACTTGCCTGGGAATCGGTAGTGTCTGAGCCTGGATTTTTTTTCTTACCTGCAGAACATACTTAAGATTCTGCAATCCAAAATACTTGAGTTTACAGCAAAGCAGTTAGGCAAGATGAAGTGAGCAGAAAGTGAAAATTGTCTGTCTGGTCTGAAGGCCACAGGCATACCCCCAATGGCAGAGGTGCCAGGGTAACGCTCCCTCAGCGGGCGGGCAGAACACAAAGCTGGCTGAGTGCTATTTTCTGGAATTACTTTCAGTTTAGTCATCTCTATTGCAATTCAGATGGGTAATCTTGGCAATTTTACAAAAGTCAGACAAACCCCCTGTAACAAACTCACTGGTCCTTGCTCAGGCAGAAGCTGAGGCATGTACAAGGGTTTGTTCAGAGGAGTAATGCATACGCTCTGTGTGCTTACCTTACACCTGTGGAATGAATTGACCAGTTGTGCTTGTAATCTACCTGATTTACACAGACAGACAGGTAGCTGGACTTGTACTTATTTTGATTTGTACCTGTGCAATAGGGAATGCCCTGCCATAAATTCACTCCATTATTTCAAAACCCCTCATGGTAGAAAAGAAGAGAGAAAATATTCATGAAGCAGAAAAATATATTATTTTCTCAGCTACAGCCCAAATTATTTATTAGAATTATAGCCCAGAGAGAAGAAAAGACTGTAGAGAGGTCAAAGCTGCTTTGTATGTCTTGACAAACATTGCAGCTACCCATGTGCCATGGGTCTAATTTCTTACCCCATCTACTCACATAAAATGGCAATACAGAAGTGCAAGGCCAGAGCTCTATTTAAAACAAAAGAAGAAGCTACTAAGAAAAAAAACCAATAGGTTTGAGCTCAGGCAGTTTATGTCTCACTCAAAGGGAACAGTGAGCTTATGCTATAAATCTTCTTCCAAAACTAATGGAAAAATCTCCTATACTGTTCCTGCATGATTCAGACATAGCAGGTCATCATCAAACTTACTATTATCTTTGACTCATATTGCTTCAGTCGTTCTATCACCAATAACTTAATTTGCTGGCAGCCCGACAGCACCATTCCTGCTGCTGTGCCCTAAGGCAGGTACCCCATGGGGGCCACCAGAACTTCTCCCCCTGCCCGGGGAAATGCCCATCCTCCTGAAGGGCTGCATCTTTGCTCCCTACTTTTCTGTCACGCTCTCCATGTTGAAGCCCAGCCTGCAGACTTGTTAAAATTAGAAAGTGAAGCAGGACCTGCATTTAGTCCTTCCCACTGCTGGTGAGAGCTAACAGACCCTGGAGCTTTTCAGTGCAACAAGTGCTCCCTAAGGCACAGAGCATTTTTGAAGGTTCCTGAAGAAATGAGAGTCCCAGTAAAGCCAACTTCACTTGCTGTGAAGTATTTTGAAAGCTTGAGGTTTTACAGCTTATAAATTGTTGTGGCTGCTGACAGAGAAGTATCAGATTTGGGTTTTAGGGTCTGGAAAACCGGTGACACCAAATCGAGATACATCTCAGCTTCTTCCAGCAGGAAAGGGTCTTGCCATGTGCAGATACGGCTGCTATTTAGCAATAATGCTCCCTCCCTTAATTACACTTTTGGCCTCCGAACTTAGTGCACACACAAGCAAACGGATGGAAGACTGTGGAAAGTGGGTTCCTGAGCTTACGCAAATACAAAATATTTTAGCAGAAGGCTGTCTACCTAAGCTGCCCCAATTCAAAGCAGAGGAGACCTGATTTTAGAGGGAGCGTGCAGACAGTGGGGTTGGAATGGGGCTATTCCCTTCTAATCTCATACTAACTACATTTTTGGGGCATATTTTAGTGAAATTAATGTAGCTAACATAGGACTGCTCACTTCTAGAATAATACTAGGGACAGGGTACACCTTTACCAATATTCTTAGATATCTCTTTGCTCCCATGATTAGAATTATGTGTATTACAGAAAAACTTCTTTCCAGACACACCGTTGGGATGGCTGGTGAGGAAATATTAAGTGGATGAAACACACAGAGGGCAGAGATGGTTTGGAAGGGAGAAATGGCAATAACAACAATAAGAGAGCTGAAGAGAGAAACCGTAGCTGCAATACCCTGCTTATCTTTCCAGGTTATTGTGTGATGTTCTCATAAGGATGAGAAAGTGCTGTTGTTCAGTGCTGCCACGTATCACCTCTGCTTAAGAGATGGCCAACCCTTTGGGCAGAAAAAGGGCTAACTCTTTTCTGGTTTTCAAACACTCACCTGGATGCTTTCTGGGAGTCAGAAAGGCTAAACTGACTTTTCCCCTTTCCTGCTCCACGTTAAAGTCAATAGCGAGTGCCACAGGAAGGACACTTCAGCATTGTCCCTGTGCCAGCCTGAAGCTCCCCATACAGAGATCACAACACATGTTAGGAAATAACAAGGGTCTCTGCAATTTTGTGGCTACGGGAGGTTCAGAAGGTTCAGAAGAATTTCTAACCTGCATTCTTTGACCAGTCTGCTGGGAGAAAAGTCAACTCACACATTCAGGTGCAAACAGATGCTGATGAACTCTGGCTGATGGCTCTTTCTGGCCCTAAGGCAAATTACATCTGCATTATCTGCCTCACCCAAGAAACAGGACATAATACATGCCACAAATGGGAGAAACAAGATTCTCATAGATCTGCAGGTTTCTAGGCTGGTGGGAACATATCATTCATCTACTCTCGCCTGCAGGACACCTGCACACCAGGAGACTTTTACCTGTTAACTTAGCCATAAGCTGTATATAAGGTACAGCACAACTCATAGGAAAATACCCAGCTTCATCTAAGGACACGGAGTGACAAGATATCCATCCCATTCCCACAAAGTTTGTTTCAATACTTAAATTTCATTGTGGAGACATGTTTACATTCTCCTTGTTGTCTAACTACCTCCAAATTTATCTCCCACTTCCTCAATCTCCTTTTGCCTTTTTTATTAAAAGCTTCCACTGTGCTATCAGAAATGTCCCCCATATGTGTGGGCTTCAGCCTCTTCTACATGATAACACAAGTGGAGTTATGTTGCATTTCTCAGCTCTAAAATCACTCACATGGCGCTTTCCTAATCTTCCAATCTTTTTTTAAAAAACATAAACCACCAGGATTATACACTATATTCAATACTGGCCTCATAAATGCAGTGTAATGAGATCATACCAACTGCCTACAGTTTCCTGATAGTCTTCTGTCTTTTCTTTCAACTCACTTAAACATTTTACCAATGTTATGTAGCTGCATACCCTCTTTCCCCACTCTCCAGCTCCCACGTAAAACACGATGTTAACAGACTTGAACATTGCAAGCAATTATAAATCATGAGATATTCAGACTGAAGGATGTTCATTTACTTCTCCCTGTGCCTGCAGATTATAATATAAACTAAGCTTCTACCGAACACTTGCCTTAATGACTAAAATAGTGGTTTTTCCATATTTCTTCCAATTTCCCTCATTTACTGTGGCCATCTATAGTAGTACAGCCTTAGCTCTGATACAGGTATCATCCTGGGTTTGGCTGCTGACCACAGTTGCATGCATCTGGCGACAGGAGGCTCTTCTCCAGCTCAGCCTGGGGACTAGACTCGGGGCTTGGGATCTCTCTCACTTTAGGCTGGGAAGCGAACGTTTGTAGGTTTTGTGATGGAGAAAGTGGGTGAGCTAATTTTGGAAAGCATCCCAATGCATGAAATGTGAGCTAAGTGGGGTTAGGTCCAAGGCAATTCTTCATATATTCTTTGAGTTCTGCTGACGCCTGCATTCGGAGGCTCAGCCTTCCTCTCGCGTTTTCCTGTGTCAGCAGAACTGACTGAATGAATTGACTTCTGCGCATCTGATTTGCAAGTTTCTGTTCTTCCACGTTTTATCGTGTTATTCCGTAATTACAGAGACATAAGTACCGGGAGCCCAAGGACCAGGACGGTGGGTTTTGAAATGTGTTCATATCACATCTTGCTCTGCATTGCAGAGACAGGCACCCACACACGTACAAACGCACGTGCACAAAAATGTTCAAGGCTGCCTGAAGGACTCAAACTGTGACATGCAGAAAATACTTAGATTAGTGTTATATGACTTTGCTTTTCTGGGAATGCAGTGATACAAAATCCTTCATTTTTGCAACCTTCCAAAAATGGTGTTAGCAACATCACCCCTATTATTTATACCAGGAAACTGAGGTACCAACAGGTGAAGTGATTTCCCCAGGTTCAGGCAGCAGATGGGGCTCAGGCATTCCTATCCAAAGCATTACTCTTCTGGCTAGCATTTTAAGGGATTTCAGTGGGACTCAGAAACCTGTGCGTCTTTAAAGAAATACGTGCTGTAAGAATGGGGAGGCTAAATCCCATCTCCTATTTCAGCAGGTGAGCTCCTGAGGCCCAGGTCTTCAGGCTGTACTGTCATAGCCACTGAGCCGTGCCAGCAGCACGGCTGGTGGGACCTGCCACTCCTCAGTGGGGCTGAGATTTCAGGGCTCAGCGACGCTGAACAAACCCTCTCCTGCTTCCTGCTCTTTGCTGCAAATCCCCACAGCAGGGACAGGCCAGTGAGGAGCCCTGGCAGGATCTTTCCTCCACAAGGAGAAGTGCAACATCCTAGGAACTTCTTCCAGTGGGGACGTGGAGCCAAGGGCTCCTACGGTCACTCTCTAGCAGCTCACTTCCCCTGTTATGGAAGATAAAATACCTATAGGTTTTCATTTAACCTGTCAATAAAAAGTGTGACGGCGAGCAGCGTGTGGGGCCCTACTGTGCCATGCATCAGAGAGGGACAGATGTGCCTCTGCAGCATTGTGGTGCCTTTTCCCTTCCAAGGATTTTGGGCAGCAGGAGCTGTGCCCGGAAGCAACCTGAGGAGGTTTTTCCAGCCTCCTCACCACCCCTCATGCAGAGAAGAATTGTGGGGAAAGGCACAAAGGCAGAGGAGAGATGCAGTGGCCACTGCACAGGTCTGCAAGGGCTCTGGAAACAGCCCGGAGGTCAGCAAGCTGGCTCAGGGGCAGTCCTCATTAGCAGGATGAGGGAGCTGAGTTAATTAGATTCCAGCAGCTCTGCAGCCATGCACAAGCTCCAGTTGCCTCTCCTCACCTCCTTCCACTTCTTTTCAGGGTGCATTGGTAACTTCCCTGTCTCTGGGCTGCTTCTCCCCCTGGTGCAGCATCTTATCCTTTCTCACAGGTGTCTCAGCAGCAGCTCAGGGCTTGCTGTTCCTCTCAGCGGGTCTGGCCAGCAGTCTTGAAGGTGCCAGCTTGAGTACAGAGCCACCAGCTCCAGGGTAGCAATAGCTTCCCGTGACAGGAGTCCTCAGTGACTTTTTCCATGGCTTATTCCCTCTTAAGGCAGCTCAGGTATATAGCAGCACGGGGCTGGGGCTTGATATCCCAGATACCCCTACCTTTCATAAGGCATCATAAGGTAGAAGCAGGACAGTGTTTTCTCAGTCTGTGCCCGCAACGTCTGTGAGAGCCTCTCCCCGAAAGCACTTTCACCCCTTGAAGATGAAATGAAATCCAAATGTCTGTACTCCTCCTCTGTCTCTTAGCATCAGCCCCCTCTAGACCAGAAGTGACGAGCAAATGACAGCACCGGGCTTTCTGTCTTCAGCTGCAGGCACTTGTGCCCGGGAGGTGGCGACAGTCCCCTTCGCACACCCCATTCCGCACGCTGTACATCCCACACCGCACACCCCATACTGCACGAGCAAATGACAGCACCGGGCTTTCTGTCTTCAGCTGCAGGCACTTGTGCCCGGGAGGTGGCGACAGTCCCCTTCGCACACCCCATTCCGCACGCTGTACATCCCACACTGTACATCCTACACTGTACATCCCACACCACACACCCCACACCACACACCCCACACCGTACACCGTTCACCTGTGCCTGAAGATACACCGATGCTTGAGGGCCCGTAAATAAAGTGCCCCTCTGGTGTGCAGCACAGAGGGGAGCCACGGCCGACACATGCATATCTGGGTAAAAGTGCTTTAGGTTGTTCTAACTTATTTTTCTTCTCCTGTAGGAATACTCGATGCCCATACAACAGCACTTACCATAGCATAGTTTAAACAGCATAACTTTTGGATGAAAGCAATTCCCTAAGCACTTCAGCCAGCTATTTAAATACCTGCCTAACATTCATTTCAACTCTGAAATACATCTGAGGATCCCCAGACTTTAAAAAGAGAGTCCCACTGAAGACCATCCTCAGAAATCTGGTCATGAAAGTGGGACTTACATAGTTGAACCATTTAAACAGTCAGTTGTATTACGGCTGCTATAGATCATTTTCAAAATAACACTTGCCTTTTTAAAAAATGTAGCTTACAAGTACAAGAAACAGGATAGGCACATCAAGAAACAGTCAGAACACATACTGTTACAGTATAGAAGAAAAGTTTAAACACCACTATTTAATGAATAATGGGTTTGAAGTTCTACCAACAGACTTTTCATATTATTACTATTATTTATACTAACAGCTATCGTTAGTTATGAGCTCATATATGGCAGACTGCAGGCAGAGACATACACCAGTTCACACATCGGTTATGTTTCCTGTGCCTGTGTTGTGTGGTATCATATTTTGTGTTTTCTATTTGGACACTTTCTATCCAGTTCAGCTTGCTTTCTGAATATTGGCCCAAAACATAATGCTTTTGATCCTCTATTTCTGCTGATTGATAGACAAGGCACTGTTCAGATCAGATCATCAGATATTGCTCCTTCTCATCACGCTCTGCTTCCTATACTCCAGTTTCTCCTGTCCATCTTTCACAGAAATATGTATGCATACTTCTGCTTTGGTTTCTCTTTATTTTGATCGTCCATCTTTTAGTTTAAGCTTTGTTTTTACTTGTGGTTCTAACCACGATGGTCCCAGAGGTACAAGTCTAACAGATACACTGAACCAATCCAATAATTTTCAGCTGCCAAAAGGATCAGCGTGGCTCCCTCTCCAGGTGTGTATTCCTGCAGCCTCATCCGCTCCAGGGCTCATGTTCATCTGACCCTGCAGAAAGCTGATTCAGCTCACTGGGTGGACAGAAAGTACCAAAAAGCAAAGTAATTTTTTTTTTACCACTTTAGCAATCCGAAAGTGGCTCAGGGAGGTGCCAGGTCAGGCCCAGACAGAAGGAGAGGGGCAGGATCAGGTGGCTGCACCCCCGGGGAGGGCAGGAGAGAGCAGCACTGTCTTTTTTTGGCAGGAGTAAGCTGTGGTTGAGATTGCTCATCGAGCCTCAGTACAGCTCGTAGCTGTAAATAGCAGAATTAATATTCAATAGTGTTGGCTGCTACCCTTTTATGTTTCCTCAGGCAGCAAAGGCTGAGAAATGTTTGGTTTTGTTTCACTCCAGACAGATCAGAATAATCACACCTCGCAACAGCAACACCCCAGAGAATATGTTGTCCCTCCTTGCTGATATAACCCAGCTAAGCAGGGCACACCTCGGCATCCGCTCACAAACTTTCTCATCATTTCTCCTGTGTTTTTTTGTAACTGAGTCAAATGACAAAACCCTAAGCCAACTCTGGAAACCCAGCCTGCCCTGGTCCTGCAGGTGGCTGACTCCCGCTGTCTGAAGGGCAGGATTTTAAACTCTTCCTGCTCTCTCGGCAGCTGCAAAGTTGGAATTAAAATGGAGGAAACCAGCAATTTGGTTATCAGACTTTAAAAGCGTATAGTTCAGAAGCTGCCTGCAATGGAATATTTTATTGCACTGGAAAACTGGTGTTTCCTAAAGCAACAGTCATTACAACTGTCATTAATCTTTTGGGTTAGCAGTGGGCTTTTTAAACCCAATTCCAGAGCAGAATATACTGGTTCCTAGGTTAAAGACTGGTACAATTTGTGGTCACCAGCATAAATGCCTTGAAGTAAAGCTGCTTCACCTTCTAGACTTGTTCAGCCTTGTGTTATACACACCTCAAATGGTGGGCCCAAAAAAGAGTAAGTGAGAAAATATACTTTAGGTGTAAATGTGATAGTGCTGCATTTTGGAACTAAGCACTTTGGTCAGTGAATGCGTTAGCTGTCTAGGGATTGCTTCTCATCAGTCTCAAGCTCTCCACCTGGCCCTTCAACCATGGGCCAAAATCTGAATTTTAAGGAAAGAGGAAAAGAAAGCAAAATAAAGCAGCAGTTAACTTACAACATGAGGATATAGGTACGCTGATGGCCAGAATGATCCAGGCAATGTCCATCTTGCTGAGACAGATGGTTGCTCTGTGCTGGGGTTTGTCCCCCTCGGTGACATGGGAGATATTTCCTTGCACGCCAGGTTTCCAGGTCCCGGCAGGAACCAGTCTGTTGAGGAAGTTGCCGGTGGCGGTGGAGCCAGCTGTGGAAATGGAGCTGGACAACCTGGTGGCGGGCGCTGCAGAAAGAGCACTGCCCAGCGAGGTCGCGTTGGTCACCGCGCCGTGCTGCGTCGGAGCGGGTCCCTTGGGCTCTCCCGCTGCCGGGGAGGAGACACCGATGTCAAAACTGGTCTGAACTGAGTGACCTGCTGCTGCTGTTGCAGATCCAGGGCCAGCAAACAGAGGGACGTTTGTACTGAGATTCAAGGTTACCCAAGAGTTGTTTTTGCTCAGCATATCCCATACGCCGTAGCGGGTGGGTTTAAAAGGCACCGACACTGCTTCGGGATCAGTCGATGGTCCAGCAGTTGTGGTGGCAAAATCTGCCTCCTGCACCACTACCTCGGCCCCATCCCCTCGCTCTGCTTCCCTAAGGCTTCCCGAGGCGTTGCGGTGGGGAGGAGGGTCTGAGTGTGTAGTTCTTGCCAGCCCCGTGCTATTTGGATCGCTGGACGCTGCGGTCTGGGGCTGAAATGGGTGCTCTGTGAAAGGGCTCCTCAGGGTGGGGAAGGGGGAGTGCAGGGTGGTCTTTAGGTAAGGCTCCGAGGACTCTGTGAAGTTGCCTTTGAAAACCTGGACTATTTTCCCCTTGGGGCGAGTCTGTCCCGAGTACAAAGCGCTCTGGTTGTACAAATGATAGGTTTCCTTCTCGCCGACGCGAGGGCCGCTGGGTCGCTTTTGCCCGGGGGAAGGGGCTTCCTCCGCCAGGCTGACGGGATGGGGAACGGCACGAGCAGAGGTGGGAAGGGGCTCTGCCGCGTGGCGGTCTTTGTGGTGAGGTGTTGTTCCCATGTCTGTGATGGTGGTACTGTCCATCGGGAAGCCCTGAGAGGAGGAGACAGTGGGAGACAGTACCTGAACAGAAAACACCAGCTCTTCTGTCAGTGCCAAGATCAGGAGAACACCTGGAGGAAAAAACACAGAGAGAGGGTGAGACACCGGGGAGCAGCACGGCTTGCGCATCTGGCCGGATGTTCTGCAGGAGGACAGAAGAGTTAGCATCCAGCTTTGTCAGCTTCTCTGGGAAAGTAGGAAGAGAAAGGAAAATCTGCAGGGGCTGCGGCGGCCCCGTGGCCGTGGGAGCGTCGAGGTGGGAATGGGAAGGTTGCAGGGAATCTCTGTGGCAAAGGCAGAGAGCAGCTTGCAGTACGGACTCAGGGGAGTGCTTTAAGGCAGGTGATTTCCCTATAGAAGCTACAAAGCATCCTACACTTTAGGCGTAGAAACAAAAGATGTTTTCATTTTCATTTTGGCCAGGAGACGGTAGATGAATGTCCGCATCATTATGGGGAACCTTAGTCCACTCATTTTTTTGGCTGCAAAATGCTAAATTTGGCTGCCTCCAGTCTTGGACGCCATTAACCAATCTGGTTTTCTGAGAGAGCAGCTGCTTAGTCCTTGCTGAAAATTAGGTCAAGAAGGAATGTCTGATGAGAGGGCTTCCTGGGTTATATATGCTGCCCTTTACTTAGAAACTTCAAAAAATCTAGTTGCTTATTTTAGAGTATGAGGTATGGAAAATCTCCAAACATTAAAAATGAACAAGAAAACATAGCTATCACAGATGTTTTAAAAAGCCACGTGATTATGATGAGTCTGACTCGGTTTAACACAACTGCCACTTGCACCCATATCCATGTGTTTGGTTGGAACCTGTTTGGTGCTCACATGTGCTGTGGGACTGGGTTGTGTGAAATTTGCCTCCCGCCGCCCTCTGTAGCGCACATGATTTCATGAGGTGCCAGATTCACACCGCTGGGAACATCAATTCTTCCATTTATTCCTAGTCCAGATAATGGACGTGGGCAGCTGCAATAGCAGAAGCCTCCCCGGGACGCAGGGCTAATACACCGTGAGTTAGCATGACCTGCAGGGACCACATCAATCACATGTCACCGTTTCCATATGTTGAAGCTGTCGAGTGTAACGTGGATCCCTGCCCACTAGGAAGCACATGGAACAAATCCATTTTGCACAGCCCACTGAGCATCATCAGATGGCACCATTAGCAGTGTGCCAGTGTGAATTTCAACCAGTAGTGTCAAGGTGAAAAATGTTGTCACGGTCTTAACAAATCAGGGAGACATGTTCGTCAAAGCTGCAGGACTCCAGACTGGGTAATGATCACCTCCCAGCCAAGACTGTGGAGCCCCTTCCTGCCCCCTTCTCCACCCTTCCCAGGCTTGCCAGCTTTCTCCACCAGTGTCCTTATGCCATGTAGTTCTACCCTACTTGGGAATGCACCTACTTGGGTTATGAGCACCAGCAGAAAAGGAAGACAGAGACTTGGGAAAATGAAAGAAGATCTCTGATTAGGTGTCCACTGGACCCTAGGAATCTGTTGCACGTTGAGCAGACGCAAATACCACGAAATGTGTTTATTCTGCATCCTTTGCATCATTCACAGCCATTTGCCAGCAGTGCAATACACAGAGGAAAGCCTCCCCCAAGGAGCAGTACCTGTTCCTCTTACCCAGCTAAATGCTCTACTTCAATCACTCGCCATCATTTCTGAACCAGAACAGTGCAGAGCTCTGCAACCAACAAAATTCACCTCCTCTTGCCCCCAGCAGCCCCCTGTTACTTCGCAGCGTACCCAGAAGATGGTTGGATAACGTAGTGACAGCCAGTCACAAGCAATGCACTTTCCACTGCCTGACGCTAAAATTAGCTCATTTTTTTAATTTCTGAAATAAATATCTCTGCCAAACAAACCATTGTCTAGGATACTGCTTCCCAGTTCCTAGCTAGCCACAGAAAATGTGCTCTTAGCAGAACACCTAGTCAACAACAAAATATTCTGGACACTGAGATGCAACCAGGAGAGCAGATCATGCTATACTCGTGGAGCATCACTCTCGGAAACGAAAGGCAGGAGCTACCTTCCCATTTTTGGCAGCACTTATTCTGAGGTCAAGGTCAAAGCAGATATTCTAGTGTCCATATGGCTAATATTTCATGCCAAGACAAGTTGCTGCCACAGAAAAAATTCAAAGTGGAAAGGATGACAATTTATTTTGGATTTGCTGTGTGGAGATCATGTTTCAGGAAACTTTAGGCCTGCTGTTCTGAGTACACAAGATAAAGGGCATTGGCAGAATTTATGAGATACTAGATTATAGTGATTGTAATGCCTGCTAGAATTTTTTAATGTTCTTTGCATAACTACTTTCTCTCACACCTCATGTGCAGAAAAACGTCTCTGTTTTTCTCCAGAATATTCCTTGAGGAATAAGGAAGTTGTCAGCTTTTCGGCATATTGTGCCCTGGGGTTAGAAACCCTGATCTTTGGCTAAAAACCTACCTAATATCCCTCTCCATTTCTTGAAATACTGATAAATTAGAAACTTGCTGCTATAAAGATTTATGATGTCTCTGGGGCGGTCTGTTGTGGTAGCAGGTCACCACACATCAGGCACAGGGAAGCCAGATGCATTTAGCTGGTACTGTTAGGTGGCTTGTAAAGTATGGATAATTATTCAGAGGAAATACTACATCAGAACTAATTTATTTGACAATAAACAATAACCCCTCTGACACTTGGCTGTCTCAGGCTGTGGCAGTCAGGTTTCACTCTCTTTAACAGCCTCTGCAGAGCCGCCATGTCCCACAAGCTACAGCTTCCTAGGGCTCTTTTTTACTGATTGAATGGACCACAGTAACTCCTTCAGTGATACCCAGAGCTAATCTGTGTCCCTAGTTACTGAAAAAATATTCAGCTTAGTGGATCTTTTTAAAAATAGCCAGTGCTGTATATTTAGGGAGAACCAGCTGATAATAAGGACTTCACAGTGGGCTCTGCTGCCCTTTTAAGTAGAATTAATTGGCTTTATAATTGACCAACAGCTGACTGGAAAGCAGAAGGAAAGCTGGAACCAGTATTTTTGGATGCTCTGCATCATCTCTTAAGCGTGCTCTGACTGGATTTGTGGTGACCTGGTTGCCCAGAGCTCCCAGTTACTTTTCTATCACTCGAGGAGATGCAATTTCTTACAAAGTCAGACTCTTATTGAGGTTCCTGAGATTAGACTGCTCTGTTTGGCCTAAACCTAGGAAAATTATATTCTGAATTCCTCTACTAAGGCGCAGGAGGCATTTGTCACAGAAATGGTCTTAAGCAACCCCTTCAAATTTCTTCCCTTCTCAAACTCTGTCTCTGCTTCACAAGTGTACTGGGACTGAGAAAAGCACCACGGTGGGTACAGCACCAGTTGTCCCCTGGTGCCTCAGCTTACCCTCAGCCAGACTGCCACTGAAAGAAAACCTTGGGTTGCTATCAAGTTGTCATGGCCAAAAGTTTTGATATTCCAGCTGAGATAGTACATAGAAGATACTCTTGGTCGGTTCAAAGCGCAGTCCTGCAGCTCTTTGCTAAAATCCTTCAGGTTTGGCTGCCGAAGGACTCTTAGGAGTGATCTTAGAGCGTGAGCCCTTTGGGGTAAGGACTGGCAGTCCTTACTGTCTGCTGGCATAACGGTAATGCAGAGTGATGTAAGCACATTACAGCAAATAATAATAATTATATCTTCAAAGGTCAGTTCACACCATTAAGTTTATTCATAAGGAGCCATTTCTAAGGTACTGGAGCTCATGCTCAAAAGGGGTCAAACTGGTTTGGCTTTTAAATGCAGTGTGTCAAATTCCCACTTTTGGAGTCTAATTTTATGACTACATGAAAACCATTCAACCGTAATGAGAAAGCCAATTGACCTGACGTCTCTGTGATGTAACCTGTGTCATCCTGTGATCTTGCATCCTGTACCAAGACGTGAATGTTAAGTACAAAATGAATTAACTCAAGGGTGAAGCACAGCAGAGTGACAGCAGAGTGTACACAGAGGGTGCCGATGTGCATTTAGCCATAAAAACTCCTTCCTGACTACGTGGTTCAGGGGTTGAAATCTCAACAGGATCTCCCTGCAGCGCTTCTTCCCACTGTACACTCACAGGAGTCCAGAAATGGCACGTACAGTTTTGTACCCAAAGAAAACGAAGGTGTTCCTTTACAGCAATGTTTGAAAAGACTGCGGTTGGTGTCCTCAGTGAGTCTCAGGGAAGCTGGGGGCTAGGAATATTTTGCTTTCCCGGACTAAGAAATTCCCAAGGAGTTTACCCAAAGTCCTACCTTCGAGAATCGTTTGGGAGCTTCCTCATAACCCTTTTATTTGCAGACAAGAAGCAGAACCACCTCCCTCCAAACCAGAAAAACAAAGCAATTCAGGCCCCAGCAGCTGATGTTCATTGACTGTTTTATGTCGGGACCTCAGAAGCCCCCTCTAGGAGCTGGTGTCCTGGCACAGGACAGCATTAAAAGGCTTCATTTAGGAGTTAATACCGCCTAGTGCTGCACGGGACACTTCGTGGGCACTTCCAGAACAGCCTTTCTGCGTGGCATGGCAGAGCAGGCCTGAAGCTGCCGAGTCAGCTCACGCGTCCAGCCTCCCCAGGGCACCCCCTCTAAACAACACCAACTTATGTAACTTCTGATCTAAAGCCCATGGAAAGGTTCCCAATGATTTCAGCGGGCTCTGGACCAACCCCTCATTGCCAGAGGTAGAGTGGAAACTTTTGAGCTGCACATTCACATTTTCAACAGCAAACAAATATGCACAACCAGCTCGGTCTGGCGTTTGACCCTTGCTGGCCTCTGCTACCTCAGACCTCGCAGCAAGACAAACAGAGCCACCCTGAGCGGTACCTGGCAAACATTTTTGCTCTAGGAAGTCAAGGAGAGGATTTTGTGCACAGACCTGCTGCTGGACTCATTATTTCAGACTGCCGTGGGCAAGGGAAGCAAAGGGAGCCGTCCTACAAAGGACCCATTATCTCCAGACCCAGGGCTTGGGCAGGGCAGAGGATGCTGAAGCCTCTCCCTGCTTCTAACAGCCTGGACCTCCTAATAACAAGAGAAGATTGTGCAAAACCTGTTCAAAGCAACAACAACGTTATTGTTGTAAGGAAAGCTTTCTTCACAACGCTATTAACTTCTCATGTGTCTCTCAGCAAACCTGAAACGTTGCAGGGAGCAAAATGAATCTTTAATAGATGGAAACTGTGCAGAAAGTATATATTATTACTTTTGTTATGGTCATTTCTTTGTAATTCATCAAAGCAATATGATTTTTCACTCACAATATAGCAGCCTTTGTACAAACAAAGAGTTAAGCAAATTTCATTTCCATGATTGGTGGCACAACTGAGGGAAGAAAAAGTAGGTTACTCTGCATAGACAATTTCTCTGCCCTGCCTGTCTGTCAGTGGCTGTCATGCCAGAACTCCCAGATATTAACTTACAAGTTATTGTCTGCTCTCCCTTGTAAGTATTAGACAGGGTGATCGACCACACAGAGTAACACTGCAGCAACATAAACCAGCATCAGCAGAAGCTCTGGAAATCACATGTACAAACACAAATTAAGCGGTGCTCCCCGACACTGCCTGTGTAACAACAGCAACGGTAGCTACAGTTTTCACATGGACAGATGTCCCAGTTGTTTAATGATACACAAACATCACAGAACCCTATCACAACCTCTGAGGTGTGCTTCCATCACAGACTTTGAGAAACTGAGCCTGTAATTCCACATTCATTTCTGGTCCTGCAGGGAGTTAAACAATGGGTGATACAAATAGGACAGTGTGATGCAGTCACAGAGCAGGCAGCTCCCGATTCATTCTCACACTGCATGAGAGACTCAGACACTATCAGAGTAGGTGCTTCAGAAATGCTTCAGATCCCTTATTCAGCTAAATAAATACAGACATCTGAGCTGTTGAACCTTGTGAAAAGGCTCACTGACAATCTAGGACAACAGTAATTACTGAGAGGAGGGTAATAAAAAGAAAGAGCCTGACTCTAGCTGCTTGTTCAAGGTAATCACTTACCTGAAAATATCATTTGGACTTAGCAGACATCCTCACCTGCTCACATCACACAGATTTGGAAGCTTCATCCCTCAGTAGAAAAAGGAAAAATACATCTTCTCCCTAACGAGGCAGCTGCAGGCAGGAGTTGCTGTTATTGTTGGAACTGGTTTGGAGGAATGAGGACAGAGACAGCCCAGGCAGGCGTGTCTTGCAGGGCTGTGCAGCGAGAGGGCTCACTCCTTTATGGAGTACCTTTGCAACTGCAAGGCAGGATTACTTACTGAGCCAGTCCCCCTCTCTGCCAGCAGATCGAAGGGCTGCTTGATATTCCAGCTCGGTTTCCCATCAAGTCCAGATACAGTTTGTCTGACACGGGTCTATTCAGATGCCAGAGGATTGCTGGCAGTTCTCGTTTTCTGGGAACAAAACAGCAACAAGCCCCCCAGCTGCACGTCCTTGTGAGGCTGTTCAGTCCCTGTTTCAAGGCAGAGTGCCCTCCCTCCAGCACAGCATTTAGCTTCTCGTGTGTGGATGGATTTTACAGATCTGCCTCCTGCTTCTGTACCTCCACCAGACTTTCCACTTCATTCAATTATCTCTAATGATATTAATATTTCTGTCAGAGGAAAATATGGGGAATGAAATAGTGATCTTCTTCACTCCTTCTTCTTCCCTGGCATGGAAATGCATGTTCTGTATTTTATTTCTTCACTCTCACTCACTGGTGAATGGGCAATTTCAACTTTGTAACCATAAAGAAATCCACAGTTCTCGTGATTCCTAAAGCCATAATCCTGCTTCCCTTCTTCCATTTCTTCTTTTTTCTGTTTCCCTCTTTCTCTCTGGCACAGCTGGATGTCTGGAAGAACACATTGCCTGAAGAGCACAAAAATGTGCCCTGTGCAGCCAACTACCAATTCCTCAAAAGGGACAGGGAAATGGTAAGAGAGCAACAAGTTGGGGGCTTCTTGAGAGCAGTGTAGGCACCCCCCAGGAGTCAGAGGGCAATCTGCACTACTCACTCTTTGATTCAGAGTCCCTGTTGTATCCAGGGGTGCTGCAGCAGCCCCAGCAGGTTTTTATATGGGCTCCTCACAAAATTAATTCCCAATATTTTGTTAGAGAGAAAAGCCACTTCCTTCCTCTATCGTACCAGGTGAGAAGATCCTCCTTTCTCAGGCCTTGGTTACAAGCATGTTGCAGCCAGATTTATTCTGTGATGCTGCAGCCAAATCGGAAAGGAATGATGCTGTGACAATAGGTTTGAGATTTGGCAGCACCAGCAGCTACAGGGCCTCTGACAGTGATCCCAGTGCTGATTTTTGGGGACAGAAGTCCCTATCAGAATGGCTAGGCAGATGCATATATTATATCATAAGTGTATTTTATCCATAGTTACAAAAACTCCATTTTCGCAGCCACGATCATTTCATGGAGGGTGTGGAAAGACAGAGTGCAAATAATAAGCTTAGATCTGCTTTGCATTTTTGTGCTCTCGTGCTGATGCTCCTTTTCCCCCTACCATTTGCAGTTCACTTTTCACCCTTACTATTTCCAGTCTGAAGGTTTTTCTAAATAAAGATATTCAGTGCATTATAAAAACCAATTAGTCCTTACAAATATCAGCTTGTTTAGCAGTTTCTAGAACTCGGGGCTGATTAAGAGCTTGCTGCTGAAACAATGATTTAGCATGAAGCTGCAGCTGGCGTAACAAGAGAACCATGCCACGTATTTTAACCTTTGCTGGAGGATTTGCCACATCTGTAAGCAGTAACTCACCACAGATTTCTTCCCTCTGTGCTGTTACGGATGGAAACACAAGGCTCAAAATTGCCAAGACTGTCTTTGAAATTTCAGATGAAAACTCTTCATAAGGACAGAGGCTCTGTGCATTCCCTTGTCCAAAAACACATGGAACAAACCAAAAAGGATTTTAAAAGCACACGAGTGTTCCTTGGCCTGACAGTTCCCCCCTCACACAAAGCTCGTCCAGCCCCAGCTTTGCAAATGCACATCCCTTCCTTTCCAGCCTTTACTTGGCAGCAGTTTTTGTTGGCAGGATGCTGTTGCCAAGGGAGACAGAAAGGATGTGCAGCTGGCTTTTCTTTCACCTGCACTTAGTGCTGCTGATCCTATTTATGTTACTGCAGAACCTTTGGCTTCTAAGAGACCTACCATCAATGTCACCGGACCTTTTGAGGAGTTTTGACAATGACACAAATAGCTGTGGCCTCTGATGGAAAGCTTAAAATAGGATCTTACCAAAGAGAGGATGTAGTTGGTGTCACAGATGCCGACTCAAGCAAGGGTATCCATTTCATAAGCAGCAATAAGAAGAGGGAAAGGAGGATTCAAAGCCATCTTAGAAAGGTTTCTGACAACCCCTCAAAACAGTGAGTAACTTCAGATATGTAAAAGTTACATCCCTAGTCTAAGGCAGCTGTGGCTCTGGCAGGCAATTCACCCCATCCATAAATTGATTACTACCCCAAAGAGGCTTCTCTCTTGCCATTAGCAAAAGAGGTCACGTAGAGGATGATGAGCTTTAACTACATGTCCAGGTGATGAAAATTAGGTGAGATGAATCCCACCTTGTATCCCTCTTTCTATTTAAATGGCATCATCATAAAGCAAACTGAGGATTTCTTTAGTACGATAAAGGGATAAATAAAAGTGATGTTTGAAAAGGCAAAATGTAGTCTCTGCATTGTGATACTTTCCAGAAGCGTAAATCCCACTGCTTTGGACATTCAGAGCCAGTTTCTACTGAACATCAGACAACAAGCCATGGAGAGCAACACTTCATTGGTATGAAGAGCAGATTAGAGCAGGGCCTGGCATCCTTTCCATGATAATGCATTAGGAGCCATTTTTCTTTCCCATATTAGAGAGTAAGTGGGCAAGCACTAATTCAGCTGAAGCTAGGAGCTACTGCCTCTCAAAGAAACGGCCTGCTACCAATGAGCTGCACCTGACCCCTGCAAGGCAAGACATCTGGTGCCTGCTTAACTGAAAAGCAGCAGGTAGCATGAGGAACTAGGCACCGCTTCTTCATTCATAAACCTTTTTGCACAAATCACAGTTCCTGTACCTGCTACACTCCTTTCAAAATCCTCCCACTTGCAGTTGGAGGTAACCAAGTCAGAGGCTTTTGATTCCAGCACCAGATGACATGTCTTTTCCAAACCTAATTTCTTCAGGACTAAGCTTCCAGCTCTAGGTAATTTACACTGACTTACCTATCAATCAAGGATGCTTATTCGAGACTCAGGATACTCCTTCAGTACAGCACAGTCATTTTTAGCTTGTCTTTTCTAAGGAAACATTTATAGGAACAGGTTGTCTATCCCTCTGCCTGTCTTTCCCAGTAACTTCTGATCCACAGCCGATTTCAAATATTGTCACACACTCTATGACAACTGGCGAGGAGGCAGAGCACAGCACCCTACTCGTGGATCCCTCTGCTTCCATGATGCAGACCTTTTTTCCTCTACTTGCAAAAGCTGTACTGAAATTCTCCAGCTGCACGTACAGAAATGTTGATCCTGCAGCCAGAAGGGGTGTTGTAGTTATGCATAGGCTGACTAACTTCTACAAACCCTGAAGGCATTTCAGTCATTGCATCTGTTCACTGAAAGTAATTTGGATGATTTATTACTTGGACCCCCTTCAAACACATTATAACCTCGAAGTGCCTTATCCTTGTGCTTGATCTCAAATGAGAGCTTGTAATGAGGAGCTTGCACTAATTTTTTATGTGAGCAGGCAGCACACAATTAGAAATTAACTATTATATTTACCTGCAGGAAACATTTACTCTGATTTTTGACCATTGCCCAGTTTAAGGTAAAGGGATACTGTGCCTCAGAGTGAGTAAATTAAGGGGCTTGTGTAGTTGCTCACCATCTTGGTTTATCTTTTGGGCAAGTGAGAGCCACATCAGGTCAGGATCAAGTCAGTATTTCCAGTATGGAGGACTGGCTAGTGTTTTGGGGGGGAAAAGGGTCAGATTTGAATGGGAATAATTCCCCAGGTGGACTTGGGCTATAAAAGGCAGTGAGAGTTTCCACATTCAGATTTTCTCCTGTGAGCGTAGCCCGAGGATGTAAGGTTACACATAAATCAGCCAGAAAGGCTGTAACGTGCTGCTCTTATTATCTGCTGGATTACAGAGGGCTAGCAGAGCCTCTGGAGTGGGTGTAAGGTTGCTAGGGAAAGAAGTGAGCTGTTACTTTTCACTTCTGTTCATCCTTCCTACGAACCAGCAGCAGCTTTCTTTTGGCTTTTGGATCTAACGTTAGTATTGCCTCTTGAGTTAAACCTGGCTTCAGCTGAGGCTGATGGCACAGTAAGCTCGATGTTCACCATGGCCCAACTCCACTGAGGCATGCTGGTGCTCAAGAAGGTCTGCTGGTGGCCCGAGGGGGTCAGCAAAGCCCCTCCACAGCCTGTCACGCATGGAGGTACATTCCTGAAAGTCAGGAGTGTCAGAGGTGCATGTTGCATTAGGACATATAAAGATAAAAGGGAAAGATCAAATTCCCTTTTTGAAAATATCAGGGGCTCACTGCAGAGATGAAGGAAGGTTTTTTTGCTCCATTAGGTGAATTGCAAAATTGCATGGGTATGGAGATATGGATTTTTGCCATCCTTTGAAGGTGGGTATCGGTCTGGAAAGAACGAAGGTCCAAACTAGTATAGTAAATTGTATGTTCTTCCAAGTAAGGTCAGAGTGGTAGCCGCATATAATTTCTGCTAATAAGAGCAGGAGCCTGCTGCTTATATTTCACTCAGTGTTACTGCTCCTGAATTAGATTCAAGAGGTGGAGATAGGCAATATCATACACAAAGAACGTAAGGGTGAGTTGAAATGGTGATACAGGGCACTTGATTAGTCAGGGGATCAGTATTTCAAGTGGAAATATACGTCAAGTAAGGAAGAGGATCTCACTTTGTAAAAACATGCTCCATCAGCTCTGCAGTTCATTCATTTCTGCAATTCATATTTCCTATTCAGCATGAATGCAGTTACACAACGAAGTACAAAGTTTCACCTTTCCATGCGGATGGTCTCTCTTTACATGCACATTTGCATTTAAAAAATAAAAAAAAATCCACTACCAATATGTGTGCGACACTTCTGAATGTTATTGGAACATGGGTCGGTGTTGTCTTTCCATAGGAACACGTTGTATATCCAAAACATCCTTTACATTGAATGGTTTAAGTGTCCATAGTGGACTCAGGTCATTAGAGTTACATCCTACCTTAAACGTGACAGGCTGGCGCTGTCATATGCACCATCAACACAGAATCACTGTTTGGAATAACAGTAATAATAATAAGCATAACCCCTATTGCAGCATTATTTGCACAGCACTTTACAAGTAAGATATTTTATTTGTCTTTCCTTTCTGGTTAAACCCATCTCTATTCAGGAGAGAATCTACTTCACCCATTCCTGAAATGTCATCACCTCCACACTTGATTTTATTTTGGAAGGAAATTGGTCTGACAACCCTAACAAGTTCTGATTATTCACAGAGCAGCCCTTGTGAGGAGATTAAAGGTACTAGCTTTCCCATGTTGCCCTGTCAGCACACAGCCCTTCAGGGATCTTCCCTTGATGTGGAAGTTAGCTCAGCCTCAATGTTCATTCATCCTTGACTTCTCTTCCGTTAATAGCGGTTATGTTGTTGGAGATATGACGTGGACATCTTACCTCTCTCCTTCCCCCTCCAGCGACTACACTGGGAGCCTCATTTTATTTCAGGCAGGCTATTACATAGTTCCCAAAGCACAGTACTTACTCTTCAGCTACTGCTGATGGGGGCTGGAGTCAGCAGGCAAACCAGAGAGTGGCTCTTCTCCTGCCTCTCCGCTCCAGGAGCACCACGGCTGTGCCCTGGATGGCTGCCGGGAGCACCCAGAGCTCAGACACCTCTGCCTTCACAGCAAACGCACAGCCTGGGTGTCCCGTGCTGAGACAGCATCTCAGGAGCAGCATCCCGAGGTGCTCGTCCTAATGCTTTGCTGTGTGATGTGTCTCTCACCCTGTGATCTGGCTGCTCACCTCTTGAAGGCTATGGAATTTTTTTTTCCGGTGGAAGTGTGGAAATGCCAGCGTGTGACAGGAACATTCCATTTTTGGTAGTTTCAGTGCCTGCCTCGGTGGCAGCACCTGGCTTCACAGCACTGCCCTTAGTACGTGTGACTGCCTGGGTCCCAGGGAGGGCTTCAGATTTCCTGAGGCATCGGCAACAAACTTCAAACGCAGCTGTGGGTTGTTTCCTCAGAAACGACACAAGCACAAACACACCCAGTGGTGCATTTGGAAAGAAAAATTCATCTCTGAAATAGCTAATAACATGCTTTTACCGCTTACGCTGCTCCGATCCAGTCTTTCCTTGGTCTAGACTTAATTTATTAATATACAAAACATAACCTTAAAACTAGGGCGCAGCAGAGCTAACGACAAAGAAAGAACTTTCTGTTCAAGCACTTTGAATGAACTACAATTAACCATCAGTACAATTAACCATCACTCTGGGTCCTCCACAGCCAGATGCTGGAGGAGCCGTGTGGCACTCGGATGTTACGCTCCCGTGAAAGGCAATGATAAGCCTGACATAAGGGTCTTTGTCGCACTTCTGCCTTGTTACATTTTCCCTTTCCTCTCTCTCTTTTTAAGCATTCTCAGCTGTCATTGTACCCCAGCAGTAAAATTATTCCCACAGTAAAGTGCAATATTGGAAAGCAATTCCGTTTGGAGACGGAGCACTAAGTGTGGCACATCAATGATAAAGCTGCAGCAGAGCATTAGTCTTTGCATTAACATTAACTACCATGGCTAAGAGAATATATTAGCAACAGCCTTAGTAAAGGTCAGGACATTGAGAGGAAGGAATATCAAGAAGCATTATATGAAGGACATAATTTTAAGGTAAAGTGCTGAGTTTCAGCCCCATTCGATGGGAGTTGAAAGGACTGGATGGAAATAAATAACGGGAAGGCTTTGCTTGAGGGACCAATTCCAGGACCGCTGATAGCAGTGTCAGGAAAAGTCCACTGGGACATATGGTGGCTTCTGCTGCTCTGGTGTAAATCCAGGAGAACTTCTCTGCAATTAGTAAGATTACTTAGCATTAGTAAGATTATTCAGCATACAAATGACTGAACAGGCAACACTGAAGGAACCAGCGAAGTAAAACATGGTTGGGAGCTGAAGACCAATGACCAAATGAGAAGTAAGAAATAACCTGAAGATTAATGGCAATTAAGAACTGGAAGGAGGGGAGAGGCTTATCTTTTGTTCTCTTTAAATCTGGGTGCTGGGTGGGCCACCTGAAGCCATTGTGACAGCTCAGCACGACGCTGCTTTGGTGCTTAATTCCCCCCTTTACCTGGTTTGTTGGCAATTAGTGTTTCAGTCTTAAATAAAACTCAAGTACTTGCATACCAAAGATGTGGAAAACAGCTGCTTGGCCCGAGATTATTCACAAACAGTAATTTGCATATAATAGCTAAAAACAAGTATCTGGCACAAACCGAGGTTAGTGGCTGAAATGCCCAAGATAACACGAAACCTGCCTAAGGTTGTGTTTTGGTGCAGTCAGAACTCAACTTCTTGCTTTAGGCGCAAGACACCGGAGCATCACCCCCATGCCAGGAGTGTCACACACCATCAGCACTTCACTGAACCAGGGTGGGAGCAGGCAGATAAAGCAGAGGAAGCAGCAAAATCAAGACGTACCTGGGCAGGTTTCTGAGGGGACGTACAGCATGTGGCTCCTCACGCAGATACATTACTCTCCCATTCTACCACCCTTATTTACTGGATATTTATTCCAAAGTGTCCCTGCTGGGAGCTGCTCCCTGTGCTCATTCACTGTCAATTACACTGCCAGAAACACAGCAGCACCTACAGCAACGTTCTATTGCATTACAACTGTTTCCTTAACATGACCTTGGGTCCAAGATATTTATCAGGAGAGAAATAAAAGAAAAAGAGGAAAAAAAAAAACCACAGCGACCATTTATAACAATTTGTGAAGGTGGAGTGATTTGAGCTTGCAAATTACAGGTAAACACTTTGTACTTGCTATGGCAATATAAAGCATCTCTTACTCAGAGCACCGTGTCAACTTCTGCCTCTGTCTAAATTAATGCTTCCAATTAGTCCTCTTTTATTGTGCATCCATCACAGCAGATTCATTGTTAGGGCTTTGAACAATACAAATCCATATACTGGTAATTATGAAAAAGTACGTTTAGCAAGAGACAAACGTTTCATATTTATCAGCAGTGCCTTGGGCGCTTTGCAGGTTATTTTTCCTGGCACATTTTTAATTTCTACACTCAGATTCATCTTGGGGTTCAGTAACTAACTGAAGTCAAAGGCTGTATAACTCTTCACACTAGGCTCAGGCTTGGTGAATTCGTTTTTTCAGCATGTCTCTTGAAAAATCATCCAGCTACCATGCGTGTGTCCCAGGCAGTAACTGCTCTTCCAAGCTACGTGGCACACGCCATGTAGGGGGAAAAGAACATCCAGACTTATTCCTTGAAATTACATCATATTACCTAACTTATCCACTGCTGTTTCCAAACTTTCTCTTTTTATACGTAAATTCTTTGGCACGTGTTAAAAATTTATGTGGAATAGCTTAGAAAGGACTGAAAAGATGGCAAAAGGGAAGACTGTACTTAAGGCTCCGACAAAAATTATGGTTCCCTAGTAAGCCCGTGGTTTTAAAAGACACATAACTGCCACAATATTTAACTGGGCTAAAACTTTTCAGGTTTGGAGTCAGTCCAGATGTGGCATTTCCAGAAGACAGGGGGAGAAGGAGCAATGTAAGGCTCAGCCCTGAACTGAAGCAGAGGAAGTGCTTGTCTCTGCTGGTTCACTGGGGTCTTGGGAGCAGCTGGACACAAACACCCTTTCACCACTGGAGTGGCCCCCCTTGGCAGACCATGATTAGAAAGTGGATATGGCAACAATTCTTAGAAGTTTTTTTAAAAATGATCCCTGCAAAACAAAAATATTTATTTTTTTAAAACAAAACCTTAGGTGGAATTGTTGGAAAGCAAAACAAACAACTGACACCAGGCTTTAATCTGAGTAGGAGATTTTCACCTACAGAGTGGCCCAGGGAAAGTCGACCTCCCTCCACAAGGCCTTTCTGATGTAGGAAGATGGTCTGTTGCCCACCATAGACCTTGATGTGAGCATGGGACAGGGATGGGGATAAAGGAGAAAAGGTGCAGTGGGAAAGCTCTGCCTCTTGGTTTCTGGAACGGCAGCAAAAGAGACGTGCCCCAGGGCAGGCTGAGTCACTGCCCCGAGAGCTGCTCTGCTTCACTGCTGCTGGAAAGGGAAACATTTTCAATCTTCCTCCTTTTGGGGCTCCAGAACAAACGTGGTCTAGTGAGAAAGAGAGGGCATCACAAGCTCTGGGGCCAGGCACCAGATGCACATAGGATCAGGGTTTTCCTGTTTGCTGCCACGCAGTCCATATAGCAGCCTGGGAGAAAAATCACAGGGAAATCTTAGCAGGGATGAAACCAGCAGGTTGCTGTAGAAATTATACTTTAAAATCCTTTAAGTTTTACTAAAGCTCCTGAACTTTTTCTACAACAGGCTAAAACTTGTCCCGTGTGATTCCACAAAGGTTTTTTAACTCTAAAGGGTGATAACTTGTCCACAAAAGATGGAGGTAAAAATCCAGTGGATCACAGCTCTCCAGTCATATGGATGGATGGATGGATGGATGGATGGAAGAGGTTCATTTGGCTTTTTCTGCAGCAGGACTCATGGGGTGGTCAGGCTCCACCTCCCCCTTT